GTGCTTTTTTTGGTTCACAGTTTGTCTCTGTTTGGGAAACTTGCACTTGTGAAGTTGTTTTAGCTGCACAGCTAAAGTTAGCTTGCTAATTTGTTAACATTAGCCGGTTACTTTTTTTTTTGCCTCAGTTTGTTCCCTGTTGTTTGATAAACCAGGCAGGCCATTATTCTCAGATGATTTCCAGCGCTACCATCTGTTTACTTTTGTAACCAATATAAAATATACTTGGCTAACATTGCCTAAATAGACATCTGACTTAGTGGACGCCCACATAACTAATGGACACATGCTCTCGGGAAAGGGCACTGCAATACAACCCTCGTTACAAAATGTTCTTCCGCACATTTTATGCAGTTTCATATTTCCACCAGAGAGGTCGCCAATTCCCAAAATTGGCCAAACTTACAAAGTGCAGCTTTGAAACACCTTCCTGCATCTCTGTGTTATTGTTGGTTTGTGGTAGTCAACATTATGATACAGATGCACAAAAGACTTGCTTTAAAAACACTAGAATATTCCTGTAATTGCGAACAGCCTTTCAGCACTTCCAAGGACTATAAAGACAAATGAGGAGAAAAAAAAAAGATCTGAGCAATTTTGTTGCTATTTTGTGAGAAAAAAGTGAAATAATCCCTGTTGAGTTTTCATTATGAAAGATCTCATCTCAATGGGGTATTAATTGAAGAGGCCTGACCTCTGGGTGATTACCCTTTGGAGAGCCCTCACCTTGTTCATGTGCAAAATGAATAAATATATAAATAAAATCATGGGCCATCTTACTGACAGCGTAATTAAAGAAGAGATCTGGGTCATGTGATTGTAACCTTCAGCAAATGGAAAATCACCACAAGAGTCAATGGATAAAATAAGAGGCTTGTTTTCTTTTCGTTCGCCTTTAGTCTCTCTTTAATTGCGTTTTAATTAAATTTACCTGTTAATAATTTAGGATTTTATTCAAAGGCATTGTAGATGATGCTTTTTGAAGATTGAATGTTTTTTCAGATTTAACAAAGATGTCTAAATGCTTTCAAACTAAAAGTGTGTGTCAAAACACACCACTGCTTAGGTATTAAAGATTCAGTAAATCTTAAGGGAAGATTCCACTGATTTTTAAAAACGTCAACATAATCTAGCTGTTAGTAAATCAGCAAAGTCATTCAGATTGTTTTACTGAAAAAATTCACCATTCTAGAAAAACTTACTGAGTCGGAATAGCGCACAATGGCAGTGATAGAAACCAGGGTGATAGGAGTCCAACACCTCTAAACACTACCTCACAGAAAGTTACACAAAATTCTTATGAATTAATTGCCTGATGCCTTAAAAGCTGTTTTATGATTAGGTTTTCACATAATTGTAGTTGTACTGTAGATAAATAATCTACTGATATCCATTTGATTTTTTTACATGTAACTATCATGCTTTAATTCAGCTACAAATTTAAAATTTCTATTGTTTTGTTAAAAATCCTATGTAACCAAAAGACTGTATTTAATATGATACATTAATTCAACAAAAAAATGTATACTTTCTGTAAATGTAAACAGAGCCATTCATTATTTTGATGTCAAATGCTCCATTCTAGAGAAACTTATAACAGAGATTCCCTTACAGTGGTGTTTATGGGAACTGGGGGTCACAATGTCTACAACACGAATATAGCCAATTTTTTTTTGAAGGGACTATTTTACCTAATAACACCCTACATGTACGTCCACCATGAGTGTGTTTTATACAATGTGTTGGACCCAAACCTTGACAAAACTATCATAAAACAATATTTCAGGCATCTGGCAGCATATTCAGTACCATTTCATGCAATAACTTTCTGCTTTTAGAGGCATTAAACTCTTCAGACGTTTGGTTCTTATCACTACCACTGTGAACAATTCTGTCTTTGTACGTTTCTCTACAATGGATTATTTCAAACCCCTCTGAATGACTTTGTTTACATCGTAACCATCTAATCATGGAGAGTATTTTTGAAAATTTGGTGGAGTTCCTCTTTAAGTAATATCCTAATCTATAGTTCTTCTTTGATACTTTGATGAAAAATAGGTGAGAAATAGACCTGAGGTGTCATCTATCCAGAACATCACTGTGTGGTACTGAGAGCTTATGGCAGTGCGCGTGTGTGATCCTGGCCCCACAGGCCAGGGAGAGACCTTTTATCCTCTATAATTAAGTCCCCTTCTCTCCTGCCCATTACATCTCCCTCAAATGCAGCAGCTCAAGGCGAAAATTACAGTCTTTTTTCTCCCTTTCTCTCTCCGTTTTTCCTTCCAGCCTTCCCATGCTTTCCTTCTCGCCTGTGACTTGGGATGTGAGTCTTAACAACGTTTGTACGAGATCGATCGGTGGATTTCACCAGAATTAGAGCGGGACATTCCGGAACGAGAGAACACCAAGTGTGGATGATGTGTGGCAGCTCTGAATCACACAGAATGACATGATGGCAATGATGTCACATAGGAATAATAAGAATTGCATTAAGACCCAATTACAGTCGTTTTTACCTGCAATGTTTGTGAGCGAAATGACAGTAATTTCATATTTTACTTTTTCAGGAAATAAATTTTGCATGTAAAATTTTGGATCGACTTCGCCTTTGGTGAACTTCGACAGGTGAATTTGTTTCCACCAGTAGCGCTACTGATTTAGCTGCATTGACTTCTGAAGGGGTGGCCCTCCATAACCCTCCCTGCTGAAAAAACTCATACAAACCTCTAAGTGTTTCTGTTGGTTTTTGATGTTTTTAATTGGTTGATATCACATTGTAAAAGATCCTAATAGTTTCCCAGGTGACCAATGACTGATTCAAAATGCATTTCATGGTTTCCTAATGGAATCTGAGGGTGCTCTACAGGAAACTAGAGGTCTCTATTGGATTTATTAAGCCAATTCCCATTAGAAAGCAAAACCATTAGGTTTTAATCCTAATAGTTTCTAATGGTCATTTTTCAGCAGGGATGAACATCCAAAAATGGAGAAAACAATCATTTGAAGTGTCTAAATGTTTATCCTTTTAATATTTCTTGCTCACTGTCTAAAAGAGTTGGCCAGACATTTTTGGTTGGTGGACAATTCACAGTCTAGCAGTGAAACTGAGGGGTTTAAACACTAAAAATGATCCACCACCCAATAGCACATGCTTTTTGGTGATGCTGAGCACTGAAGAACAGGAGCTAACAAAGTATGCAGAGAAACAGATGGACTACAGTCTGTAATTGTAGAACTACAAAGTGCACTTATATGGTCAGTGGAGCTGATAAAATGGACAATGGGTGTAAAAACAAGTAAGTAGTTTTACCGTTATGGCTGCTCGGTGTACTTTTGTGTTGTTACTGTTTATGGTGGGCAAATTAAGCAAACTAGCCAGCTTGCTACCTGTCATGTTAGCTCCTTGGCTACTGCAGCTGCACACAAGTCACCTCACAGTCGTCAGCCACGCCAGTTACCACCACTTTTTTTGGATTCAGTGTGCAGCACTACACTCCCATGAGTAAAATTATTATTATCTATTATAATTATTATAATAATGTTCACTTTGTTACATTACTGTTTATCATTAGCAAGTTAGCTAGTCCGCTAACTGCACTGTCATGGAGATGTGGAGTCTAGTGTGACTGTGGCTTATACTGTTTTAATCAGAACCTATAGAAAAGCAGCACATGCTTTATAACCATGGGACTATGGATATTCTTCCTTTTTGTGGTGTTTCATAGAGTGAATTATTATATAACTGAGGGCTACTGACTGTTCAGCCTGAGATCTACATTGTACAGACCTCACTTTAAAATGCTCACATCATGAAAACCAAATTTTATTTACTTTTTTTAATAAAAGAGTTTGATGTTGTATGTAAAAGCTGTTAAATTTGAAAAATGTTCCATTTACTCCCCAGTTCATATAGTCTATACAGTCCATATCTTCAGATTAGGCTGTGAAAGCTGTCTGTTCTAGTGCACTGTTTTTGTGATGTCACAAAAACAAACACATTTACATTTATCCATCTATTGCCTGCCTACACGCACTGAAGTTATCTGTTTAATTGTAAGAGATGAAGAGATGTTGAGAAACGGTCATGCAAAGTTGAATTATGACTGTTTTTGGTACATAAACCCACATGAATGTCACAAGTGGGCCTCAGGGGAAAAATAAAATGCAGTGTTGGATATGGACCCTTTAATATCCTAGAGGCCTTGATTTAAGGACTATTATTCAGTAACTTCTTCGGGAAGTACAACAAAGCTGACGCATGAGCTGTGTAGTAATGAGAGGGAGCCTCTTGAGGTTTGAGGGGTTAATCAGATGTGTTAGACCGACGCTGGGTTCCCCTGATCTAGATGAGTAAGCAGTAGTCAAAAACTGAAAGAAGTCTCCATTCAGTCTGCTGGAGGGTCTGTTGTTTACAATTCAAGTCACAAAATGACTGCAGTCTCCCACTTTCAAGGGCAATGCCAGGAGAAAGGTGTGTGTGTTGGAGAGGGGGGTGACAGAGTGTGTGTGTGTGTGTGTGTGCGTGTTTCACGTCAGAACCTTTGGGAAATGAATCAGTGTAGTATTCCTGTCCTGAAGACAACCATGTTGTACATGCAGAACAAATAGTTTCTATTTCCGCTCTGCATGTGATGTATTGCATCCCAAATAATTTGTTTTGTAGAAAAATGTGGTAAAAATAAATAATATAATAGAAAAATTACAGTTACAAATGTTTGGAATCAGATCTCTAAACGTTTTCAGCAGAAGTCCAATTCTGTGAACACAGGTCATTTAAAAAAATGTGCTCACAGTGGAAACGCCACTAGCCCACATACAGAGGATCGATCACACCCAGGCCCCGCCCCTCGCGAGTGCTGATTGGCTAATCTGCTCCGTGACAGACAGTTGCAGCAGATCTGTAGGAGAGTGCAAGGCTGGCAGCTTGGCCCCTCCCCTCTCGAACTGTGATTGGCTAATCCTCTCTGTGACGGACAGCTCCGTCCAGCAGATCAGTCGGAGAGAGTACTGAGAGGACAGCATTCGAGCGAGCGAGGCAAAGTAACAGAAAGTCGGGATTTTTTTCGGTGAAAAACATTTTGCGAAGGCTGTGTTGGACTCAACTGGTCCTCGGCTTCGCTCTTCGCAGCAGAGCTCCCCGTTTCGAGTATAAAGTGTTTTTTTTTCGTTTGTTTTCTTCTTTAATGAACTCCTCAGTCAAGGAATTACGAATGTAAGTTGAGTAACGTTCTTTGCGCGCCAGCTCATTTGCTAGCGGACGAGGTCTCTTTTCCACGACGAGGCTGGACTGAAACTAAGCATGTAAACATCCGCCGAAGTCCAGCGAAGCAACAGACTGTCTTTGACCGACTTTCAGAAATGATCCCACCGGCCAACATGACCGGGAGCGACGACTGTGTCGGCTGTAAGGAGAATGAAGGGGACGCTACGGACCTGCCTCAGTCTCCGTCCTCGGTCAGCCAGCAGGAGTCCAAGGTAGCTACGCCACTCTAACGGTTTTAACGGTCGCCCAACTTCAGATCTCCGATGCTAATTTTGTTTTTGAGAGGTTTTAATAACAGTTTTCCCATTATAATCTTAATCCTACGCAGGCATAATTTACAGCAACTTATTTGGAATATGCCTTAAAGGCGAATTCCACCATTTTTTTTGTCTGCATAGTTAAATGGTTGAGATGTAAACAAAGTCATTCAGAGTAGTTTAATGTGAAATTTGTAGTGAAACGTACTGACTATTACTTCCTTACAGTAGTGATATACAGTTATATGTAATGTTTATGATGGTAAAATAGTGGTGAATCTGAAAAAATAAGTTTTCTTTGGAGACTGTTTTGCCTTAGAACACCCTTCATGTATCCCTCCACCATGGGTAGATTAAAATACATGGATTAAAGTACGTTTTAGACTAAAACTTTATCACAGAATTATCATAAAAAATGTTTTCATGTATATAGTAACATTCTGTGAGGGGGCTTTTAGAGGTGGACGTCTGGTTCCTATCACCACTGTGAACAGTTCTGACTTGGAAAGTTTCTCGAATTAAGTGTTTCACACCAAACCTCTCTGAATGATTTTGTTTATGTGTTAACCACATAATTATGCAGAAATTTTGAATAATTGGAGTTCCCGTTTAAGGAGAAAAGCACTTAGATTTAAGAGCTGCAGCAAAAACAATTGTGTGAAATACTGTAGCTAGTAATCTAATTCATCATTGAATAATTTAATTCAGAATTTATCATAATAAAGAGGCCTGCAAAACTCAGTTGAAGTGAAAAGCAACAAGCTTCACAAGACCAAAATTCTGTCTATGCCTTCAAATAATTATCCACAAATGTAAAGTATAACCGTCTGTTAAGATATTCTGCTTAATGTTTATTAATTATGTGCATGTTTCATTTTAGTTGCTAATGTGTTGATGCTGATGAGTTAATGTTAATTTTAATTAAAGCTGTGGAGAAAGGCTAACAGCAAAAAAACAAATGATTTTTCCTTCGACTTGAATCATAGTGTGATTGATTGAGCTCCTATAGTGTCTAAAAGTAACAGTACACTTCAGGGACCATAATATGAGCACAGGGACCATAATATGAGCATAATATTACCGGCATTTCATTTATCTGCGTTTAATTTGAGTGAACACAGTGATGAATAACGTACCTCCTGGTGGAGCCGTATAAATCACCTGAAGGTTACTCGCGTAGCTTGATAGAGTATTCCAAATCATCCTCAGGTAAAAGTACTGCTATCTCAATGAAATTGTCTCAAACAGGAGTAGTACACTGCTGTCAGAACAAAACCTCATATCTCCATTTTTGTTTTTCTCCATTTTTCATTTTTCAGTTTTTGACATAATTTGAAAATACCCATTGTCCTGTATATTGTGTGTAAATTCCATGATGAGTGGACCAACAGAAATGACCCAAAATGACTTGGAAAAAAACTCTGGTTCAATTGAGTTACATTAAAAGTAGAGTGTGCTTTTAATTTCTCCTATAAAGTTCTCATTTCGGAGATACAAGGTTTTGTTCTGACAGCAGCGAGTAGCTAACAGAAACAAAACAGAGTAAAAGGTATCAGGTCCAAAAGCTCCTCAAGTCCTGAGATCTGGAGAGAAACCTCTTAGTACATCCAGCATCTAGCACCTTCTCCTTTTGGGATCCTTTTGTGAGAGGTGTGAGAAGCAGAAAAGCAGAACAGTATAAAATTAGGGAATTAAAAAAAATGACCTGAAGAGGAACATTCATCAGAGACTCCTTTCCTCACAAATGTAGGCCCACTTGAGTAGAAGTAGAGGTGGGCGATATGGCAAAAATATATTATTGCGATACTTAACGAAATTTTCACCATGAAACGATATGTCACAATATTTATTTGTATATTTGGCATACATTTTAGCACTAAATAGAATTAAATGGAGCTAGTTTTGCTCTCTTTTTTATAATGCAAAATGCAGCTGGTCAGTGTTCTACGAGTACTGACAGTATCCACGGTACGTTCAGAAAAGCATATTGTATTGTATTGTGACATAATTTATCATGATGATGATATAAACTGTCATGTTGCCCAGCTCTAAAGAGAAACTAAAGTATTGTCATAAATATATTACACTTAATACTTCAAATTATTCTGACATGTAACTGAGTAAATCATTGCCGATCTCTGGTCACAGTTATGTCTACTCCACTGTTTGGCTCAAATAAACGGTGTGAAATTGTCCCATCTGTCTAAAAAGAGAGATCAGTGCTTTCCAAAATGGTACCAAAGTTTCATTTTTCACATTGAGCTTGAGGATCCTGCTTAAGATGTCTACATTTTTAGCTTTACCTAACCACTTGACTGTGCTGCGGTTCATAATTTGCCACGGAGGGGGATTTTTTTCTTCCTTTTTGTGATGTGTAAATGAAGAAGACGAGTTGGACAGATTTGTGGTGCAGTGGGTGAGTCGTGGGATGTGTTTAGTCACTGGTATTGGCATTTTGTCTGCTTTTTTTCAGCCCTCCATCGACTATCTGGGTCATCTCTAGCCCTGAGTTACTACAATTAGGCCTAAAATATCGGACAGGTCACTGAAGTTGTAGAATCCTCTGCCATCTGCACTTTCTGCCTTGCATTAAATGTCTGCTGACACATATTCGCTGCTCTGCTTTGTAATAACCTTTTACATTAACTTCAGACACCTGTTCACATTTCATAACTGTTGCTCACCAGTGGCCTCTTATATTGTATATAACGATGTGCATGTGGTCAGTTTATTCTGTTCATATTGGCAGTGAATCTTATTTTTCCAGTATGTGTTGCATCAGTCAGTGTGTCCTTTATGATATTCACTCTCTGTGGTCTGTTTTGACTTGAAAGGAGCTGTCACTGTCTGCATCTCTGTCAGTGAGTGCCCTCAGGCAAGGCAATGGAAATCCTCTTCAGGATCATAACTAACTGTCTGGTTAAACTCTAAAGAGCTTGGCGCAAGAGCCACACACAGACTTCCACACATACAGGCTACTAGAGTGCATTTTCTCTCTCTAACTGTTGTTCTGCTTTCTTAGAGAAAAACAGTCACAGTAAAGATTAAATTCATTATATATTATAGCTGTCTGTGGCATCTGAAATGAGGTTCATCACCATGCTGACCTGACGTAAGAGTATGCTTATATATATATATAACTTTAGAGGAGAAGGAAAAGACATACTTTACTTTTAATGTAAGTCAATGGAACCAGACTTTTTTTCCAAGTCATTTTGGGCCATTTCTTTTGGTCCATTCATCATGAAATTTACACACAATATAAAGAGCAACAAGCATTTTCAAATTATGTCAAAAACTGAAAAACAACCAAAATGGAGATAGGAGGTTTTGTTCCAACAACAGCGACATATTGATACTATAATCTGCAGATTTGACAGGTGGAGCTTTTTTATAGTGCTTTTCTATTGTTTGCAGTAGGTCTCTTGCTAAGGTTCCTCAGATCATCGTACATGAAATCACTTCTAAAAGCACTTTGAGATTAGAGGTGGGCAATATCGATAACATCATAAATTATGTCACAATATGCTTTTCTGACAATATTGTGGACGTCGTCAGTAATTAACTAACACTGACTATGTTTCGTTACAAAATGAGAATAGTTGGGCCTGTTTAACTGGATTTTGTGCAGTGTGGTTTGTAAAACACTGAATAAAACATTATAGTTTATTATTATTCGTATTATTATAGTATTTTTTCTATATACATATGGTACCCTAAGTTTCTTTTTTGGCGTGATGCATATCATGTGCCATGAAAATGTCTTGAAGTATCATTATATAGTTTTCAATATTGCCCCTCTCTAATTGAGATGTCTTCTAAAACCACTGTAGATGCGTATTGTCTGTTGTCTAATGTGTGTCAACTCATCTAATTGAATAGTTGTGAAATAGTCTTTTTTTTGTTTTATCATGTATGTTGAGTATTTATATATTTACATGTATGTCGCTGTTGTCAGAAGAAAACCTCCAAAACGGTAACTTTACAGTAGAAGGAAAAAACCTACTTTACTTTTAATGCAAGTCAATGGAAACCAGAGTCTTTTCCAAGTAATTTTGGGCCGTTTCTTTTGGTCCATTCATCATGAAATGTACACGCAATGTAAAGGACGATAGGCATGTCCAAATATATATATATACTGTCACCTATAAGCATAAATATATATAAACTTGAGAGTACAATAAAGATAGACATGCACACATGCATTTGGTGCGTGTCCAGTAGCTTTTCGCAATCAATAACATCAATTAGATGAAAACCTATGGAACTCCACTCTAGTAGGCGTTTTTAGGTGACAGCACAACATTCAAACCCTTTACAGCATGTCCCTGGCAGCTCATTTTAAGGTATTCTTGAATCGTAGTAGGAAAGTGTAATTTAAGATACTGAATTACTTGCAAATAAATTTTACAATCCAATTAAAAAAATGCCATTTTGGTCTGTATATTTTCTCTGTCTTCCTGTGATAAAGTGAAATGAATATCCCAGTAGTGATCTCAGAATTCGAATACTGGGACCTAGTACGATTAACTGAATACTTAAGTACCCGTGCACTTTTTTCTTTTTGACTAAAAGCCTTGTGACTATGTCTCAAGACCTGTTCTTGTTGTTTGTACTGTAGAATAAATATAGTGGAGTGCTGATAGTTGGCCATTGCATAATGTAAGAGTAGAACCCTATAATATGATATTTACAACAACAACGTGTTTAATCATTGGGGAATGCATTATTCATGGGATATGCGGAAATGCCTCTAGTAAATTGCTTTTAGTGTGAAATAAGGTCTCCATATTCCATTAAGTTGTTATGTGGGTAATAGAGTGCTTCTGTTTGAACCTGCCCATGCGGCTGTTGCTCTTGCAGAGGACACAAATGCCATCACTAGGGATGCTCTGATCTGAAAATTTGTATTACCAATAAGCGATATGTGGATATGTGAAAGGAACAGTTTTTTA